TGGATGTGAAAAAGCAGGTTGATGGCTATATGTAGAGGAGCACTTCTAGGGTATGAAGGGATAAATTTTAATGCCTTGTGTTCCTCACATACCATTTCAATTCTAGGGTTTTTGGAAATGGAGTGTTTAATGGTGCATACAAGAAGAAAGTTTTAGTAAGGTAATTTCTTTGTGCAAGATTCTAGGGGTTCTCTCCATGCAAGAAGAAAGTTTTATGTAAGGTAATCTCTTTGTGCAAGATTCTTGGGGTTGTCTTCATCTTCTACTTTTGTGTATGTACTTGGAAATCATAAAACATCTAGTGAACCATCATAATTTGTATACCATGATTAAGGCTTATATTTTTTACAAAATAAGAACCTCTTTTCTCTCTTATAAATATTGATTTGATTGAAATCTGTTGAGGCTAGAATATACACAGCGATAGAGTTGTAGTTTTACGTATTAGCGTTGCACGAATATCTATCTCACACACAGATAACACAATTTTTTATATGGAAAACCCTAGAAAGGTGAAAACCCATAGGGCCTGGTCCAGTTGAAAATGATCCCACTAAAACATAAACAGGTTATAGTGGGCTGACTCTCCTTCGAGGGCAATCAGATTACAAATATCAACCGTGTAGTTGAAATCTAGCGACCAAAGAAGATGAAGGTCCAGTGCCACTTGGTGGACTGACAGAAGTTCGGTGCTACTTGAATGTTCGGACGTTAGTTGGTAGCCTAGAACTTCAACGTCAGGTCATGTTCCAGTGGAAGTTCGACGTCAGATGATAGTCCAGTGGAACTCCGGGCGTCAAGTGATGATCCGGTAGAACTTCGGATGTCAAGTGGAGGTCCAGTAGAACTCCAGGCATCAGGTGGTAGTCTGGCAGAACTCCGGGCCTCAGGTGGTGGTCCAGCGGAAGTCCGAGCATCAAATGGTGGTCTGGCAGAACTTTGGGCGTCAAGTGGTGGTTCGGCGAGACTCTGGGCATTAGATGGTGGTCCGACGGAGCTCAGGGCCTCAGGTGGTGGTTCGGCGAGACTCTGGGCATCAGGTGGTGGTCCGACGGAGCTCAGGGCCATAAGTGGTGCTCCCGCGAGACTCTGGGCGTCAGATGGTGGTCCGGCGGAGCTCAGGGCCTCAGGAGGTGGTCCGGCGAGACTCTGGGCATCAGGTAGTGGTCCGACGGAGCTCAGGGCTCAGGTGGTGATCCGGCGAGACTTTGAACATCTGGTGGTGGTCAGGCGGAGCTCAGGGCCTCCGGTGGTGGTCCGGCGAGACTCAGGCGGTGGTCGAGGAGGAGCAAGGAGGCAAGAGCGATCTCCGATCTCTTTCTTGAATCCTTTGGCTTGGGTCTCCCTTTTCAGGAGAAAAGTGAGCTCTATTTATAGATTTCTTGGAGTGGTATGGCACGTAAATAGGTGGAAAATCAAGGATAGGGGAGTGGTTGGATGGACGGCCGATGTTGAATCTCTTGATTATGGACCGTTTGATGAACATTTGAATGTCTTAGTGATGTCGGAATTCAGTGATCTTGGGCTCATTGGATTCATCTCGTCGAGCTGCTTGATTTGACTAGAAGCACGTTATGTTTGGAAACTGTTTAGTAATCTAAATTGTGGTTCAAAACAGCGCTTTTAACCCTTGATTTGAACCCATTTAGCCTCGGATTGGGTTGGATTTGGTGTCGTTGGGTTCATATTCTCAAGACGTTCAGTTCGACTGTAAGTTTACTGAAATCGGAGTTCGGATGGTCCTAATTTTAATTTTGGAAATTTCCAACTTGATTTTGCATCAAGATTCATGCCTAATCAAGAAATTTTTTTGATGATGTATCATGAATCATAGAAATTTTGATATCTTTTATTGTGCGCTTTCACTTTCTCTTTTCTATTTTTTATGACATATCTTTCTTAATATTAGTGATAGCGCATTATATCTTTTGACATCCTTACTATAAAAACCCAAAACAATACAAGTACAAAACAACAACAACAACAACATCAAGCCTTTATCCCACTACGTGGGGTCGGCTATATGAATTTTTTTTCTCCATTGTGTCCTATTAAAAGTCAAATTCTCGTTTAAATCTAATAAAGAAAGGTCATTCCTAATATTTTCTAACCAAGTCTTTTTAGGTCTACC